GCAGGCCCTTGTAAACTTAAGGTCAGTGACAAGGATCTGCAACATCACTTAAAGGTTATTAAAAGCCAAGAGACTGGTAACTATTCTGTTACTATATACTAATTTGAATATAGACATCGATACAATCTCTATCCTACAGCCATATGTTAATATTGCTTGTAGGTACGCTATGCTCTGAACTTCACAGGGTTCCAGTTCTTGTTCTACTACAGACTACTATAAAATGTAACATAGCCCACTGATTTTACTTCTTTACCCAATTCCTGGGTCACTTCTCAGCCAAGAGTTGAGTTCACCTATCTAGATGCAGATTTTTCCATTGTTTACAGTTTGTTTGGGCTATTGAGCTATAAGAAAGGCCTCTCCTTCATAATAAATTGTCTAGACTCGCACCAAAACCAGATTACAGTAAAAAGCACCTAGATACTTATTTAGGAGGATAAGCCTTCAGGAACTCAGATAGTGTTTTGCTTTGAAATAGTATCAAGGGCATGCGCTCTAAAGTGAGCTTTACCTGTCACAGGATCAGCAGAACTGGAGGCATCATGCCAGACTGAGATCAGTTTAACAGGTCTATAGAACCCTTAATTTTATATAAGGGCAGTGCTAAGGAAGCTTTGTTAAACCTACTAGGAGGCTCGCACCGATCTCAGCTGTTATGCTACAGCACAGGCACAACAGTAAACAGGCAAGGTGTCTTCTGTTCCAATAGAAACACAAGGCAAAGTTTAATGGTTCTCAAACAGACTACAACAAAGGCTGCAGGGAAAAACATTTTATTTCCAAGCAGATTACAAAGAGCAGAGAATATAAGAGTAAAATTAAATTAAAAAAATAGTTGAGTGCATCTCTTTAAAATGATTTGTAGTGTGAGTTACTCACGGGGCAAAGCTACTGGAGAGTTCTGAAGGTCACTTTGCAGGATGCCAATCACATGTGCTGTTTAGACCAGGGTCAACACGGGAGGGACAGACAAGACGTTTTTGCATATAGGCTGCACACTCATTATCAAGCGAGGCTCTGGGCTGCAACTGGACCCTGCCTTTCTGAGGCATCCCCTCCACCTTGTTCTCTCCTGCAATTCCCTCTTGAGTTCTAGGCCCAGTTTATTGCTGCTTTAAGTGGGTTCAATCTGCCTCACCATCCTGATGAGCTCAAACAAGGACACAGAGAAGCAGGCAAACTTGGCTGCCGTGCGCAAGGTTATACAGGGAAAGTGACTGCGGTGCTGCGAGCTGAGCTTCAGCCACACAACAGAAGGGAACGGACAAGTAGGGGGAACAGCAGTTGCTTCAAAGATTTTGGGCAGCACGTCAATAAGACTTCTGGAAGAAGTTTTGAGATGCTTCTTAAGGTAGGAAGATGCTTGAATTCGCACTGCCAGCAGTTGAGAAGGGCTTTTTCCTATGCATTGGCACTAATGAAATGGAATGGGCTGAAACAGTAGGATAAGATGCATTCCCTGTAGTATTTGAGAAGAGCAGCTCCAGCAAGAAGATGGGGAGAAAAGCCCCATATAGGGTGGAAGACAGTTCATATCCCATTTTAACAGTGATTTAAAAGTCCAAACGCTAATCGCAAGTCAGTCACCATTAAACTTGGATGAGAGCCCAGTTTGGTTAGACTATGCAGAGTCAGTTAGTGTCTAGCAGCACTCAGCCAGAAGAGCAAGAGGATGAGCAAGTATGTGTCAGGAAGCCTTCCTCTCCACATATGCTCAGAGGGCTCCTTTCTACCACTGTTGGATCTGTTCTTATCACTGCACAGGAGACTAGGATGGCCTAATCCATTCTAAATACACCAAAGCAAATAGTAGCCTTGATAATAGTTGAGAACAAGACTGTCTTAAGTTCTGCCCTAGGAGCAACAGTGCAGAAAAGGTCTCTTGTTTCGGGATCCGATTTTTTGTTCCCCCCCCCCCCCCATC